AGCTTCATGATCACAGCCCTGTTCGCCCCAACCAGGGAATCACCCTTAGTGGGAATAAGTGCCCGTCTCGGAATGCACGTGTGACACAGCACACCACTGATTGTGTGTTTTCAATCTTAGAAAGGCTCCCAGTGCATCCTTCTCCATAGTTTCTAGATACACATAGATCCAAACCTCTTCCTTTTAAAACAGCTTTCAATACCTGTGCCCGATTCTCATGTTTTGCATCGGTCTTATGCTTCTTCGAAGGCCCTGTTTTACGCCCCCGTTTTTCTCACTTTCCCTTAACACGTTGATTTCCCTGCGCCTTGCTCCCCTGCCTTCCTTGCTGCTGTGAACATCTGCTGTTACTGTGCTTTAGAACCACTCCGTCTCTCTCCTGGCAACGGTACCCAGTCTCCCACTGAGAAACACCCACTGTCGCCCTGTTCCCCTACCTCCGGGGAGACCATGTGACTCACACCTGGACAGCGGAGGCATCGTCTTCCCTCATGCCAACCACAGGAACTGGTTCAGGGGTGACTCAGTCAGAGTCATTGAGACTTTGTGAGATTTTGCTAGAAACCTTAGGAGAGAGGCACGAGACCTTTCCCATCAGATTTCAACCTAAGAGGACGCAGGTCCGGGGCTACTGGCAGCCATTACCGTCCTGGGGAGCCTGAGAATGAAGTCAGGTGAGAGACGGTGACAGCCTGCAATGGGTGGTGGCAAGGGAGACTGGAGATGTGGACAGACTGAAGAACTGGGTAATGGTTGGACATGATAGGTGGGAAGGAGGGGGCATCTAGGACGATAACTGGATGGCGGTGTCCTTCCCTCAGGAGAGGGCGCCAAGTCTGTTTCAGACACATTGAGTATAAGGGACTTTGAGGACGGAATGGAGAATATAAACAATAGCTTTGTTTTGGTGGGTTGAACTGAGACGCTCTCCAGTCCCTGTCCTTAGCCCCTCATGGGCATTACTCCTTCACTCAGTGATAAATGAGATTTCGTCTGCTGGCTTTCTGTGAATCATTAGAGTGACCACACAGTAATTCAAAGGCTGCTGTCCATTCAGCTGTCCTCCTTTCCAAGCTTTTACTATTATGAATTTGCTCTGGCCAACCTCTAATTAATACAAATCCCAGCATCAGCACAGACCCTCATAATCCTAACCGCCTGACAAACATTAAGATATCCAATGGTGTTGAAATCTGTCTACTGATGTCTGTACCAGTTAAGGAGCTAGGAGGCCCTCTGTAAATGGCAGGTTTCCTCACTTCTATAGATGGAGACGTATTGCCAGCTTTGGTGTCACTGGTCCAGGACGGTTCCTTTTAGCACAACGGGTATCAAATCACTTGGAGACGCTGCTCACGGCGTCTTGTCTATACAGATAGTTCCATCGTATATATCATTATAACATTATCAGAACAATATCAGAACATCATCAGAAATAGGACTGAACTTGGCGGAATTGACCTGAGCTGTTATTTCTTTTCTTCTGTCTCTGCATAGTCTCAGTCAACTTCCCCAAGCATAATTTACGTGGTTAGTTCATTTTGTCCCTGTCACTAGCCGTGTTCAAGCAGAAGCCATTCCAGAACTAGAATTTTTATCTCCAGATTCTCCAAAAGTATAAACTCCCTTGCTAATTCTAAATGAAAATGTCTGAAGACCATACACTTGACTTCATAAAAATGAGATATGGACTTCTTTAGAGTTAATGGACAAGTTTTGGGGGAAAAAAACATCAATTAGCAGAGCAAACTAAATTTCTTTTTGTAGAAAAGGAAAGCTCTAATTAGTAAGAAATAAGAAAGATAATGTCGTCTGCTGGAAACTGTCCTGTCAAGTAAGAGATCCACTTTGGAGTTCTCGGCTCAGCCCTGCCACCACTTAATTGCAGATATGGGATTAGACAGCTCTCTGCTTCAGTCCCTCTCTGTGCAAAAGGCAGAGGATAATGAATCCCATGCATGCTTCCCGTAAGAGAAAACAACTATATAAAACACCCATTCAATATGTTTTTAAAAACAGAAGGATCTGGATTTTTGCAAAACTTTGGCTAATTCACCTAAGGGCTTTCTTGGAAATTTTATCAACAGATGGATCTTAATAAAAGAGAAATAAAAATGACAGCAAGGTTAGAATGAAAAAAAAGCATCCTTAACCTCATCCAAGCAGAATGGCTGATACAGCCTGAGCAGCAGCAGCTCAGAACTGTCCGAGGGCCATGTATTTGGCATGCCAGATAGTTATGGGTTTGGAGCGTTAGGTAATAGGGACACCTGTGTGAGTCAGTCATGATTCGGATCTTAGGTTCGGTGCCAACACTCTCGTCACTAAATGCGAAATGCTACACAATCAGTCTGTCACTCAAGTTTTCTCTAGAAGTTCACCATGCTCTGTTTCTTCTAAGATGCAAAAACAGTCCAACACAGACAGCTGTGTCTCTTTTTTTATTTTATGAGTGATACTGTCCAGAGTTACTGGGACTCTTAGTTCTTAAGGGGAGAGGGAATGGGTATTGTTACTTTTACGTCTTCTGTTAACTTCAAGAACCAAGCCACATATTTTTTAATAATAAGAATCTGGATCAAGTTCAGTGTATAGTTCAAAAATGTATTCCAATTAAAATATTTAATAGAGTCTTGGCTTTTCCTCTAGCCCATCCCACTGCCATATGTATCCAATAATTCAAGCTCATTCCCTCCACCAATATAAAAGAGAGTCACCGAATAAGTGTGACGTTTTGCTTCGAAAGTTCTGTTTCTCTTAAACCATTATTTGCAAAGTGTTCGCAATAAGGCTTCATCTCGATGCGTTTTCAGTAGGAGTACCGTGAACTCTGCCGTCTGTACACCTACGCAGCCCGCACAGGAGCCCCCAGCCGCGCCTGCTCAACAGCCCCACGGGCTGGCGAAACGCAGGCGGCACCCCCGGCTTTGCTCCACGTCCACATCTACGCACATGCCAGCTGGTCGTGCTCCTGGATGTAAGCGGACTGAGCCACAGTGCCACCAGATGACCTCATTCATTGTTTATTAAGCGCTTCCTGGGTGCCAGGCCCTGTGGTAAATCTTGGGGACATAGCGGTGGACATAATGTCACCACCGATGCCTGTTCTCAGGAACTGGCAATATCCCTGCCAACCTTCCCCTACCAGCCTCCGTGACACAAGTGCCCCCTCACCTAGACCTTGGAAAGTCAACGAGTAAGGCAAGCGCACATAAGCAGGAAGCCACCTCAGAAACGTACCTTTGTGTGATACGTTGTCATTTGTAAAGCACGTTTGTGGTAAGCAGGAAGCCGCCTCAGAAATAAATAGAGTCAAGTAAGTGTCTCTGTGTGATACGTTGTCATTTGTAAAGCACGTTTGTGTAAGTGGCCTCACAAAAAGTTATCCCTCTTTTATGGGCGAGGAAACTGGGTCCAGAGAAGTAACTTGCCCAAGGCAAGAGAGAGCGAGTGGCTGTCAAAGAGAAGAGCCCATCTTCCCCACTCCCGTGAAACCGCTGCCTCCTCAGGGCCCGGGGGCCTCAGAGCAGTGGCACCCCCGGGCTGTTGGTTGGCCTGCTTCTACCACGGCTGATGGGGAGCAAGTCGCTTCATGTGAAAAGCTTCCACATCTCTTCTACTTATAAAAAAAAGATAGAAATTCTAATCACTCGCCTCACCGGGTCCCTGTAAAAATGAATGGTCTCGCCGTGTTTTGAATAACTAATCATCAGGAAGGCGGTACCTCTTGTCCCTGATTCATCTTCCTCTTAGGTCTCCACACACGGAGACATAAGGGGGAGGAAGATGATGATGACAATAGCAAGAGGTGCTGAGTGCCTCCGTTTGTAAATGCACTGGCTCATTAATCCTCGGGAGGATTCTGTTACATTCTCCCATTTCGCAGATGAGAAAACTAAGTGTCAGAAAAGATGAAGGACTTGACCAAGGCCGCAGAGCTAGAAAGGAGCGGTGATGAGAGCCTCCCCCGTGTCGTCCGAATGCAGAGCCTGCGCTTTGATCTCTGTATTCATCTTCAAGTCCGGGAGACATCGGCTTTTTAGGTTGCAAACCGACTTTAGTGTATAAACTGCCAGAGGCTCCCCTAAGGAGGGAATGTAATATAATACGTAATCAAGTCCTAGGATGGCCTCCCATGTCACAAAGCCACAACTTCAAAAATCAGGATTCTATGCATGGTGACCATTGGCTGGAACAGAATAAGCTCAATCTGTAATTTTGATCAGTGTCACCTTGGGGCAGGAACAGACTGGAGAGGGAGGCCACAGGCGTCTGACACTGTGCCAAGCTCTCGCTCAGGAGTACAGGTGAGTGTGGGCGCTGCGCCTGGGAGAGCCACTCGCGGGACAGAGAGAAAAAGTGAAATCAGCCCACCTGCCGTCCGTACACATGGCCAAAGGTTTCCCACCGTGAGCTACGAGGGAAGGGATACCAGAAATCAGACGAGAAGCCCAAGGCAGTGCGGGAGGGGACAGTCCACCTGCCCATCAACTTGGTGGCGTGTTGCAAAGAAGCAAAAAAGGAGAGCGCACAAGTGGCAAAATGCAGCCGGGCTGGCGGCGGCCCCTCCCACCGTCCAGCCCCGGAGCCATGTGCTCCCACTGTCCGGAGCTAAGTGCTTTCTCATCTGCAAAACTAGAAGCAGAGAACTGCTGAGGCTCCGTGAGGAATAAGCGAAGTTATTACGAAGACCTCTTCAAACACCAAGGGCGGCGGGAACGCTCAGTGGTAGAAACGAACACTTGCCACCATCCTGATCATGACCTCGTAACCTTGCTTTTAGGGAGGGAGCCTCTGGGTGCCAGGTGAAATGCTGCCTCCGGAACCAGCCTGTTTGCACAAGTGGTGATGTGTTTGTTAGTTATTTATGGAGCTACTGAGTTCTATTTGTTCCAGGCAAATCAGTGGCTTGGCTTGCTGCCAGATGCCCTGCATTCCGTTAGGCTCCCTCGCCCTCCCCAGCTCTATTCCCGAGCAGAGGCCTGGCCTCGAGGCTTTACCTTGCTGCTTCTGCATGGTGGTGAAATCCTCAAAGGTGAGCGTGCGCACGGGGGGTCTCCAGAACGCGTAAGACTCCATGATGGCTTCCAGTCCGGTTCTGATCCTCAAAGGTGAGCGTGCGCACGGGGGGTCTCCAGAACGCATAAGTCTCCATGATGGCTTCCAGTCCGGTTCTGCAGAGAGAGAAGCCAGCAACAGAACTTGTACATAATCCCAAAAAACGCACTGACTTTTCAGAGATCCTGGGTGGTTTGGCAAATGGTATGCACTCAGGCACTGAGAGAGAGCATCACCGGGGTAAACTAGTCTGGAAGATTGCCAGGCACAGATGACACTGGGTTGCCCGAGGAAGGAGAAACGAACCCAATTCAGATTATTTGCAAACAAGTCATAACTGTGATGGGATTTCACTAAGACCTTTCTTCAAAGGAGGCTTGGTCTGTATGAAAAAAACATGTTAGGTGCTAAAGGTCAAGGCCACCGGTATCGTGAACAAAGTTGACAAGAGAGTAGCACTGGCTGTGTCTCGAGCACAGGACGAGGTCATCTTCATCATTACAGTGCATCGAGAGCCTGTCCCCGAGTCAACTCCTCCACTGGGTATGTAGAGTCAGCGAAGCTGTCAGATTGCTGTGGCTTTAAAGGCTCCTTAAATCAACAGAGACGAGCAAGAAATAAAAGGAGAGAGAAGCAATCAAACACACCTGAGTTTCTGTTGCAACAAGAAATACCTACCTGAAGGACAAAGAAAGGGTTTGGTCCCAGAAACTATACTTCAAGCAAAGTGACCAATACATTTCTGGAAATATTTGCCTGTACTGTGTAATCTAATAATCAAGCTGGTCTTCAAGGGTCAGATACTTGGGACTGTCGGACTTCAGCAAACACCCAGTGCTGTACCAGTCCATTACTCCGGGGCTTCGTTGCATTGATATTAGCAGTTCCCTCAAGTGAACCACGCGCACACTGTCTGCTTGACCCCTCAGTAAGTTCTCTCAGCGCCGTGTGCACGCTGACGGACGTCGTTCTAACATAGTTATCCGGGGTCTCTGGGACACACTCCTGCTGATATTCTGTATCCTCAGAACAGTAGGATCAGGGTTTCATTTAAAGCTTTGGACACGGCTCTGATTTTTGACTTTTCTTTAAAACTAACTACTTCTGTCTAAGTGGAGGAAGGGCAAGATAGGAGATGGAGGGTAGAGAAGTGGCATAAGTCACTGGACCATAACATGCTGTCCCCTCCCAGAAAAGACAGGGTTCCCTCGAGATGAAACTTATGCCGCCCGCCTCCCCCCTAAGTGATGCGTTTCCAGAGTTCTCTTCGCTCTTGCCTACCAAGAATAAAGTGAGAAGTTTTATTTTAAGAACAAACTTCCTTCCCTTAAAAATGGCTGTAAGATCCCCGAGGTGCTTTCTTCTCAAATGAGCTGCTGATACACTGATTGGCTCTTCGTGTCGGAAAATTTCCTCTCTGAACAGGCCTTACTTGCGCAGTTAACTTTCTAAAGTCTTCTCTGGAATCTTGGAGGCTTTAAATACACCAATGTTGGCAAATCAAAGTCTGTATTTTTAGAAGAGGTTGAGAGGAGAGGGTGTTGCATGGTGTTTATTAGCTGTTAATCTGTTAAAAGTAGGAACAGAAGACATCTCCACACGGTCACCCTACATTAATGTTGAATACAGTACATGAAACTATTTGCAGAGAGAAGGAGTCCAAGCGATCGGAGAGCTCCGAGGAAGAAGGGATGGGAAGGTAATGCCACGCGGAGCCTCGGCGGATGTAAGAACTAGACAGGGCGGGCTTGGCTCCTGCTGCTTCGTTTTAGGATGCTGGTGGCCCACCGGAACACCTTACAGTTCCCCTTAGTGGCACAGAGGCTCACTGCAAATGGCAACGTCTTTATTCTTCTGCTGCTTGTTACATCCTTCCCAAGAACATGTGCCAAAATATTAGCTCAAGGACAAAGAACAGTCCCTTCTCATTTCATAAGGTGATAGAAGGCTGTGAAGCACACTGATACACTGCCAGTATTTCTTAAAGAAATACGAGATGAACTTTGATTTCGTCTTCATAATAGGCGAAAAGACTGTAGCAGATTTGTTAATCATTTTATTTAAAGCAGTCGACTCTGTATAGGATAGTGACCGTTTATTCAAATCTGAAATCCAACTGAAAGACTGCATTCCAGAATCACAGATTTAAAAATGAAGAGGCATCTCGTGTGTCATCAGCTTCTACTTTCTATAATACCATCCTGGACGGTTATCTATTCTCCGTTGGAGTATTTCCCAAGGAAAATAATCCGTTTTTTGACAGATCTATTAGAAAGTTCTTTCTGACCTTGAGCTGAGGTCTCTGACCTCATGAGCACTGGGTAAATGGGGAGAGGGCCAGACGTTTCCCCACCCTCATCAGGGAGACCTTCCTCAGCGGTGAAGAATGTCGTGTACAGCATGCCACATGCGGATGCACCCAGGGTCCACCCAGTTCCCAGGTCTGTCAGAACAAGGGTCATTTTGGTGGTGGAACTGTGGGGAGGGGCTGTGACTACCAAAACATAATGGCCGAGCCCACGCATTCCTGTCCACACTTTACTCATCCGCTGTGGACCCGTCTCACGTAGATTTGTCCTGGACCCTTACTGAATCTATTTATGTAGTCCGAGTGTAAAATTTCATCCTTTTCGTTCACTATCTGCCCCATCTGTTTGGTCCTTAAACTTCATTAAGCATCATCGGATAGATCTGATTGTTAGAAAGGACTCATTCTGCGTAGAAGGATTTGGTGAAGTGCCACCAAATGGCAAGGTGATCATTAGGTAATTCACCTCTCCACCGCCCGCACGTCTACTTTGGATCCCATGTTTTTTAACGTCCCATTGCTTGCATAGCACGATGTCTGTTACATGGCAAGATCTCAATTGATATGAGTCATCATTTCATGCACTTCAACCAGCATTCATTTTGCTAAGCCTAAGACTTAGGAAGACAGCTCGATGGAAAATCAAAACTCTGAAGACAGAAGGAACCCTTTAATATTAGAGACTTGGGAACCGTTTCTGTAGCTGATTGTGCCTTCCCTGACTCGAGGCTCAGAGAAGTTTCAGTTTTCCTTTGATTTCTTCCATTCCGGTCATGGAATTTCTGACCTTCAGCGGAGCCTGAGTCCCCAGCAGAGGCCGGGCAGTCCCTCCCTGCTCTTCTCTGACGAGAGTCCTTGCCGACTCCCCACCGCTTGGATGTCCGCTCAGAGCCCATCCTGAGTAACACACTGTTGACTTATTCATCATCATCATGCCCTAGTTTCGTACAATTTTATCTCAAGGTTCTTAAAAGTGAATTCATTGTCTAACGGGTTTTTTTTTTAAAGCGGTCTTAAGTCACTACATTTCATTAACGTGTCCCACATGGTGAGCCTCTCCCGGTTTGCTGGACACCAGAAACCTGATGTCATCCCTGAGGTTTCCAATCAGAGACGATCAGATTGGCAAGTGTCCCCCTCTCGCTGACTTGCCCTGCTTGCGCCAGTGACAGCGGAGGCCACAGCCAAACCCCCTTCGTTCAGTCCTTTGGCTGTAATCGCCTCTTTGATTTCCAGGCCTTTTCCCTTTAGACTTTTCAGGCTGCTCGCTGGCCAGAGCAACAGAACGTCCTGAAAGGAGGGAGGAAAGGAAGGAGAGGAAGCCAGCCACGAGCTCTTTCGCAAACTGATGATCGGGAAAAATAGCCAGACTGTAAAGAAATGGTCTTCCGAAGGAGGGAAGGAGGGAGGGATGAAGGAATGAAGGAGGGAGGTAGAGAGGGAAGGAAGGAAGGAAGGAAGGAAAGAAAGAGGGAGGAAAGGAAGCAAGCAAGCTATAAGTTCTGCTATCTTGCTATATTCTTTCAATATAATTGAGGGGAGGAAGAAAAGGAAGGAAGGAAAGAAAGAGGGAGGAAAGAGGGTGGGAGGAAGGAAGGAAGGAGGGGAGGAAAGAAGGAAGGAGGGAAGTCTTTCAATCAACCTTCTCTTCAAAAACGAATTCTGGGAACGTCTCTTTGACATTCAGCAATATTTGATAATTTTAACAATTACAACTACGTTTGTGAACCTGTTAGGTAGCACACCAGTGCATCGTTTCTGCTTTTTATTTGTCTTGAGATAGAGAGCTGCTTTTTATATTTCTTCCACTTATTTTCTCTGTAGTTCTGAGTGTTGGCTCTTCCCCATACTACCTGCTGGTGATCAACTGGTAATGAAGGGAACATATGGTAGGGATGGATAAGGTCATAGGTCATCTCTAAATAGAAGACAGTCGAGGGCGAAGGTAAGTCTACTGAGACAGGGTCTTCAAATCGTAAGGGAGTTATCCAACCAGGAAAACAACCACGCTAGGATCAGGAGATATAAAAGTGAAAAAAGACATGAGGTCTTTATCCTTTAGGATGCCCCGTTCAGTAAAAAGAGGACACGTTAATGACCATTTTCTGAACCACGTGATAAATGCTACACTAGAGATATGTAGAAGATGCTTTGGAACACTGAACAAGAAGTACTTACTATACCTGGGAAACTCAAGGAAGAGTCCATAAAAGGCCAGTTAATATCAAAGGGCACTCAGCAGTTTTCAACACAGGGAAGAGGCAGAAAGAGCTTCTCTGGTAGAGTTAACAGGAGGTGCAAAGACTTGGAGGTAGGAAAGAGAAATTGTGTTCTGGCAACTGAAGATCGTCCATGGTGACTGGAGCTCCTGGTGCAAGATGGGGGGCAGGGGGCATCATGGGTATTTATCCCATGTTAAATATCCCATGTTAAATATCCATCATGGTATTTATCCCATGTTAGGTGCTTGGATTTTAGCCTGTGGGCGGCGCTGTGCCTCTCATCTCCTTTCCTTTCTCTTCCTGTTCTGGCATTTGACGACACAAAACCAGAATATGCTGTTCTTTCAGGTCTGATTATCGTATCTCAACTTTCTAATCCTTTTTCTCAGACTGTCCTTGGTCCACTGAAGTAAGCTCAGACCTTCCACTCATCCTTCTTCACAGGATCTGGAATCAGCTCCTACATCTAGATTCCTCAGGGAATTTGTTGTCCAGGGATTTTCAAAAAGA